CCTCCCGAGCAGGCACGTCCCGGGGCGGGGAGAGGACGCCCTGTCCCACCGCGCAGGTTAGTGGACCCGAAGGTGGAGGTCTGAGCAGGTCCAACCAGACGCCGTCGGTCCCGGGTGGAAACTCCCTTTTGGAAGAGGGTTGTGCGTTGCAGACACGTTACTTTAGAGAGAATTAAAGACGACCTGCTGTCATTCGCAGGTCGCAGCCCTGACCCCGAGAGTCGTGAAGTCTTTAGCCACTCCAAGGACATTTTAATTTTTTTATTAGTATTAATTTTAATGAAAGTTTACAGAGATTTTGGATATTTAAACTCGAGGAAAACAAAACTTAACCTGATGGACCAGCTCAGCTAACCGGGTGAAGGAAGGCAGGGCTTGTACAAAGGGCTCGGGTTTTGCACGAGAGGGGTATCTTTTTTCTGAGAGCAGCTTTCTCACAAACTAGGTTACTCTTGTAAAAAAAAAATGCTAATAAAAGCTGGAGAAACTGCTCAGTAAGCTAGTTAAATATAGACTAATGGTCGCGAGGATGTCACTAGAATTGGCAGGTCAGGGAAAAAAAGCAAAATGATGTGTGCTGTATTCTCACTGCTTTGTCCAAGCAGCGCTCCACACAAAACCACACCACATGAGGGGACGTTTATTCTAACGCCGGGAGCACTTTAAACACTTGTAACTGCTGGCTTTCTTTTCCTGTACCAGCTCCTCCTTTGTGGTGGTGAATTTGAGGAGAAAATGTCTCCACTTTTCCATTGCATTTTGTCATTGTAACAGCTCATAGCTGGCAACTCGGGGTTTGAGCAATCGATAACAAAATGGAATCAGCGGGCCAGAGTCGACCGACCCTGGTCCAGAGAGTTTCCTGTTTGGGGAAAAGCACAGGAAAACTACTTTAGATGCATTAAGGTTGTAGCTCTTTAAGTGGCATCGAGTTGGCTCAGAAGAAGAAAGCTGCAAGTTGCCAAATGCATGCTGTCCCTCTCCTCTCTGCTTGGTTGTCCTCTGGAGAGCTTGCTTACTAATCGTCTTTCCAGTCTTGCCCAGCCTGTGTGTGTGTGTGTGTGTGTGTGTGTGTGTAAGTTCCATGAGGCCAGAGATTTGTCTTTGGTGCATTTGTTTCCTTTACACACACACACACACACACACACTGCTAGTGATGTTGTGACAGTCCCTCCCTTTTCCATCACAGCCAAGTGGACTGTAGTCAGAATTGACTCCATTAAGTTTCATAGTCACCAGAAACCCAGTCTATCACATTGCCATCTTATCCATACTGAAGGACAGAGTAGAACTGCCCATGGACTTCCAAGGCTCTCATCTTTATGGGAGCATGTTTCTGCCTCTCTCTTCCTCACAGCAACTGATGGGTTCAAACCGCTGACCTTTTGGTTCACAGCCACGTACTTAACCACTACTCTGCCAGGGCTCCCTCTTCCATATTAACTGTTCGGTAATAAAGTGAAAACAGTGCAGGGCTGAGCATTAGAAAAACTTGTTTCTGCGTCTAGGTTTTCCTCTTACCTGTAAGTTGTTACTAAGTGGCTTCATCTGGACTTCAGTTCAGTCTGATAAAACACAAACTCTTTGCCATCGAGTCACAGCTAACTCAGAGCTGATCCCCCCGCCCCTGAGTGTTTTTGGATGCTGTAAATCACAGAGGAGGAGATTGCCCATCTTTCTTTCTCAGATCTGGGTGGATTTGAACCACCAGAGAGAAGCCACTTATGAGTTGGCAGTTGTTGTTATGTGCCATCGAGTTGCCTGCGACTCATAGCTACCCTGTGTACAACAGCCTTAAACCCTGCTCTATCCTGTGCTAATCGTATTGTCTCTGACATATCTATCCCCATTATCCCAGTCACTGGATCAGTCCACCTCATCGAGAGTCTTCCTCTCCTGCGCTGTCCAGCCACCCTCTGAAGCATGACGTCTCTCTTCAGGGCAGATCCCACATTGCATCATGTCCAGAGTATGTCAGATGAAGCTTCAGAATCCTTGCCTCCAAGGAGCAGCCTGGCTTCACCCTCTCCAGGACGAACTTGTTTGTTCTCCTAGCATTCTGTGGTATATTTAATACTCTTCTCCAGCACCACAGCTCAAAGGCATCAATTCTCCTTCTGTCATCCCTAGTCATTGTCCAGCTTTCTGATGCATAACAAGTGATTGCAGGGACCATGGCCTGGATCAGTTGGCAGCTCTCTAACCGCTATGCCATCAGAGCCCCGTCATCTGATGAAAGGAGTTAGGATGTGGCTTCTCTCCTTCAGTCTCGGCCCACGTGACGGTGCTTTGCATACCTCAGGGATTGGTAAACAGGCCTACAAGGGTCCCAGTGTACCCATTAAATTGGAAAAGGTGGAGAGTCACCCCCTGGGACTGCCAGCAGAGGGTGAGACCTTTCAGTAACGTGAGATGTCACTTACTGACAGTCACAGTAGTTTACCTGTAAAGCATTCATAAAGACGGGACTCGGCATCATTCTGGTCCATTACACAGGAGCTGTCCCTGAGCTGACCCTGACTCGGTGACAACTTAGAACAAGTGGTAAGTGTTCCAAATCCTCGGCATGGAGCCGAAGGCACGTCAGTGCCCATCAGTGCTGTCCTGTCACATTCTGAATGAGAGGGCCAGCTTGGTGGGTTGTTGGAGCTCTGTGTTACGGTATGAGGTCCTGGTAGGTGGTGTGTGACCCGGTGTTTGACTTCATACCAATAATGCCAGTTTCTCCTTTTGTCCTAACAGGTTGAATGCATTGCTTGTATTTCTGTGTTCTTATAGTGTCCCGTAATTTAAAGCTTGCCAAATACTTTCACAGACTGCCTCATCCAGGTTCCCGTTTTTGACCTCATGTGTAGTGTTAAGTCATCTCTCGCTGTGCTTGAGTCACCCTGAGTGTGACCTGTACGTGTCAGAAGAGGAGTGTGCTTCTAGGGCCTCAGGGGCGTGCTTCCCAGTGGTGGTAACAGGCCTTTCTTCTGAGGCGCTTCTGTGTGGGATTGAACCCCTGGCCTTTTAGTTAGCAGCCAGGTGGGTTAACTATTTGTCCCACCCAGGGATTCTGGAGTAGGGTAGATATAATGATCTGTCTGTATATCTGTGTGTATTAGGTAGGTATCTACTGTTTATATTATGTATCCGTCTAGATACCTATTATAACTGCACATGTATACATACCTGCATCTGCATCTCTGGTGGCTGTTAACCACCAGAAGGATTATCGGTTTGAACCCATAAGAGAGAAAGACGGGCGGTCTCCCATTGAGCTCAGCAGCTTTGGAAGCGAGTGGAGTGTTGCTATAAGTAGGAGCTGACTTGATGACGGGGGCTTTGCTTTGGTTTGGGTGTAAATACATGTGTGTGTGCATGTGCGCAACCGTGTGTTTTTATGAGAGAAAGCTATTACACTGCTCCAGACGTTTCCATCACCCACAATAGAAATTCACTGAATTTAATTTTATTTTCTGCTTTGAATTTTTGTTGAAACCATCTGTTTTCCAATGGAAGGCATTATCAGTTACTTCTCTAACTCTGAGATAACAGATGTTTTGATAGAGTCCCGGGTAAATACATGTCTGGAAGAAGTCTGTAGTGATGGGTCGGTGGGATGAAGCCCGTGTCTTCAGATTCACACAGTTTATACAGGCCCCCACCAGATGTGGTCCACACTGAAAGTGGGATACTGTTTTCCCAGTAGACCCCAGAGGGGCTGAAAATGTAGGTGGCACTATGTGTCCCACAGGTCATAAAAGGATTAAATAATGGGATACTGTTTTCCCAGTAGACCCCAGAGGGGCTGAAAATGTAGGTGGCACTATGTGTCCCACAGGTCATAAAAGGATTAAATAATAACTCCTCTCTCCCCGCCCCTGGGAACCACTACTAAACTCTGGCCTCTTGGTCTAGCCTAGATATTTTATCTACGTTGGATCACCCAGGATTTGTCTTTTTATTAGTATTATTTTTATTCTTTTTTTTATGTGTACTGTCAAATCAGATCTGACTGGTACAGAAAGAGTTTGCCCCTCATCCACCAGAGCATCTGGTGGATTTGAACTGTGTACCTCGTATTTGTCCTTTTGTATGTAACTTGTTTCACCCAGCATGTCAGGATTCTTGCCTGTCAGGTGATACATCTGATCACAGTAACACTTTATAACTCAGTAATAGTCTAGTGTTCGCATGCACCGTGTTTGTTGTTGATGGGCGTTTCGGTGGTTGCCGCCTTTTCAGTATTGTGAATAGTGCTGCAGTGAACTCTGGTGTGCACATCTTGGGGGACATTTCTGCTTTCCAGTGTGTGAGGAGTTGCTGGC